CCCCTAAAAAATTGCCACTTTAACAAGTAGAGAACTCCTATGAAAGGAGAGAACTCCTATGAAATGAGAGAACAAGCTAATCGGAAATAGTTTTCATTAGAGTCCCACGGATCACTGCCCGTATTGTGTGTTCATGCATGAAATATATGTGAAAGTGGATACTCATTTCAACTCTCTACTCGTTCTTAAAGATTCTGAAGTTTTTTTATTTTCAAATTGCAACTCCAGTAAATGAGAGGTCAATGATTTAATCCGACTATTGTAGGGAGTTTATCAAGGATAGCTAACCACAATGTGAAAATTGCTTAGAAATAGTTTAACTTGTCCTCGTGTCAAAACCATTTCACATTGCTTTGCACACTCTCCTCATGGTGTTCACGATTTTCTTCAAAACATTGCGTCTTGCACAATTTAGAAGTGTCTACACATGTAAATACATGTCCAAAGCTTCCGCAATAAACATTAATGGAGGAAATCTTTCCTGCACAAAATACTAATAAGACATCAGCAAACATACTATAATTTAATTTTGGGTTTAAGCATATTTTCAGTTGTATTTAAAATTCTCCTGTTGAGTGTCAATGCCTTGGTAGTAGAAAATAATGTCTTTTATCATTGGAAATACTTATTACCAAAATGATTTTTATTTTAACTACCAAATTTTTTTTTAGCAACACTTGCTTGTTATTTTATTTGTTTAAAGTGTTTTGCTGCCAAAATTCGTACAACACTTTTACTGTTATCAAATATTTTTTATATTCTTGTTGTAAAAATTAACATTACAAATTTTACATTAGTTTTCAATTTCAAATGTATACAAACCACAATAAAATATATATACATATACATATATTTTTTGAATGGAAATGAAAACACAAAACAACAACATTACCTTCACAAGCACATTTGACTTATTTGTTTACACTTGATTTGTCCCCATTATTATTTAAGGATTTCAAATTTTCCTTTTTTTTTAAATTTTGAATTGTTTTGTCAATATAAATCCGAAATAAAAATAAGACAAATAAAAAAAATAAAAATAAAAAGGCACTAGAAAAAGTCGACAATTTTCAGTTGGCCCGAGAAAATTATTAGGGCTTATTCATTGGAGCGTAAATTCGGTGATCGTGGATGAAGTCCATAAATGGGGATAAAGGATCGGAGATCGAAACCGTTGGAAACATCAATCACAACTGTGGTGAGTTAACGGTGGATCATCTGAAGAAGCAAATTCATCAGTACCCTTGCTGCATCAAATCCGATGGACCTTCCTTTCTCTATTTATCACTACTTCATGATCAAACCAACTGGTAAATCCTTCCTTAATTTTACCCCATTTCTCTATATAATCTATTTGTCTATATATATATATATATATATATATATATATATATATATATATATACATGCACATATATAATTTGTATTTGTATATGTTGGGATTTAGCCTTGAGGTCTGATTGAGGAGAAAGTTACAAGGAACACAACATTTTCCCATCTCAAGGTTATTCTGGTAATTAATACGGAGTACTAATATAACATACATATGTCACTCCAGCAATCTTACTATGTCCACATTCAAACATAATAATAATGATGATAAGTGGAACCCATTCTTTTGACGCCTAGTGTAGAAACGTTGCACCTGGGTAGGCTTGGCTTTTATATAAATAGATACATTGTAAGTGATGTCTAGATTCAAAGGTTAATATCATGAAAATTTTCTGTCCTTACTTTTCAATGAGTTGCTCATAATTTCTATTTTTATTTAGTTTTTACTGCTTTGTTATTTAAAGGGAAATATAAGAAATGAATATGAAATTAATTAATCTCTAAATCTATAGTTATTGAAATCAAAGACTGAGATTCTTATATTGTTTTTAGCCGGAGGGATTTTTTCAGACTAAGGAAGTTACAAGAACAAACCTTTTCCCTTCTTCAGGCTATTCTAGTAAATAACACTGTTCCTTTGATTCTTTGAGGCTACGTTTAGTATGGTGGGTTTGAAGGGAAATGATAATATTAGTTATGAGGGAAAGGGAAGGAAATGATAATTTTAATCTCCTATTTGGTTGATTAATGAAGAAAAAGAAAGGGAAGGATAATAATCATGTTTGGGAAAAAAAGAACGAAAAATTGACTATTATACCTTTTTATATTTTAAAAGATATATGTGTATATATATATATATATCTCCGATACCTTTTAACAGGCCCATAGATGATGGGCAACAAGAAAAGAAAAAAAAATTAGGGCAAATCATTTCAGCCTCCCCAATCTCGCATCTATCTTTATTCTCGTTCTCAACTCTGAACTTGCCCTCTCTCTCTCTCTGCATTACAAGAATTAGAAGTTCAAAACCCATATATTTCAGTTTATCTATCTGTCTACAAGAATCAAAAGTTCAAAACCCGTATTGGTATATCATTTCAGAAAATCAAAACCCATATCTTTCAGTTTCCATCGCCGCTGTTCTAGTTTGGGTTCGTCGTTCACAAGCTTCAGCCGCTGGCCCGCCGTCTCTCACTCCCTCTGCAACTGCTAGCTTGTATGTATATGTAATTCTTGTATCGGTATATCATTTCAGATTGAGGGTAAATTTGACATCACAAATAATATATCAACCATTTCCTTCACTTTGTTTCATTTTCCTCCCATTTTTGGGAGGATAAGCAAAACATTGTTCAAGCTTTGACATAACCTTCCAAAACCTTCCATTTCCTTCTAACAATTTTTGCCAAACGCAAATTTTTAATCACCTTCCATCACCTTCCCTTCCCTTTCCTCCCTTTTCCATTGCACCAAACTGAACCCCTGAATGTAATGTAACATATCTTTCAGTTCAACCAATCTTTCCACATTCACATTCAAAACATTAATGATGATGATGATGATGAATGGAACCCATTCTTTTGACGCCTAGTGTAGAAACAATGTAACAACATGTTCTTTCTTTTTGAAAAATATCTATGGCTCACCAAAAATATCTTTTTGAAGTTACAAGGAACAAACCTTTTTCCATTTTTTAGGGTTATTCTGGTAAATAACATTGTTCCTTTGATTCTTTGAATGTAATGCAACATATCACTTTCAGTCCAGCCAATCTTTCCATGTCCACGTTCAAAACATTAATGATGATGATAAGTGAAACCCATTCTTTTGACGTCTAGTGTAGAAATAATGTAACATGTTCTTTCTTTTTGAAAAATATGTGTGGCTCACCAAATTCTAGACATCGCTTACAATATTCCAAAAATTTTATTTTTACCCAATAAATGTGGTGTGATAGGTAAGCTTTTATTTAGATTGCTTAGATTAAAATTTGGAATATTGGAAGTCCATGTCTTGATTCAAAAGTTAATATCATGAAAAACTTCTGCCCTTACTTCTAAATCAGTTACTCATAATTTCTATTTATTAGTCTATAAAAGAGATTATATATATATATGTATGTATTGTTAAAAATATGAGAGAACAATTGTATATGGTATTGATATATAATATATGAGATAGAGGGGTTTATATAGGTTACAAGAAATATAGAGAGCAAGAAACCTAAACTCTATGCGGTAAACCTATACATGGTTAGAATATATTAAACAATATAGTAATTATTGAAATATATATTATATATATATGTATATGTATATTCTGTTTCCTTTTTCCTTCTTTCCTCCTTAATTCACTCTTTTTTCCTTATTTCTTCCTTGATTTATTTTTTTTGTTTACAACTTTATTCCATATATATTATGTAGGGTAAAGTGCATATAACCCCCCTGAACTTTTAGTTAAAAGCACAAAACCCCCCTGAACTAAGTAATGCCCCCCTGAACTATTTAAAATATACAAAATAAGGACAAACTAAATATGGCTGGCACCGAAACTCAGCAGAAACATTACATGACCAGTTTACCCTTTAGCAAAATCATGACAACACAACACAGTCCACACAACACCTTATCTCAACATTTGCCCATCACTTTATTGGTTGACTCAGTCCACACAATTTAGCGCCAAATATTCCTTATTTTAGCGCCAAAATCCCTCCACTATGTCGGTGCTAAATCACTCTGAAACTTGAAGCTTTGAAACCTTAGGTAGTTCCATTGCAACATACCAATTGTACGGACACAAATCAGGCTTTCTTTTACCAAGGTAAATCTTAAAAAACTAAATAATTGTAATATTGTTTGTGTGGTATGTAATCGAAGCTCTCTCTGCAAAAGATTTGATATTTTGTTTCTTACCTTGAATAGTTGGTTCAGAGAAGATTGTTAATAGTCAGATGTTTGATTTTTGTGTTGAAATAAATATGGTTCAGATGTTGGTTTTTGTAGTTTTGTATGTGAGTTTGTTCACTAAATTTTTCTCTTTCTCTAGTTTCTTTATGGTAATGATATGAAGATATGTGGTTCACAGTAGTTGTGACGAGCATTTTATACTGTTGTAGTTTTGTTTGTAAGTAAAAAGTAGTAGATGTCAGTGTGTGGTAATGTGTTGTCCCTTTGATAGGGAATATTAATATTGTTTCTTATCTCTGATAACATTGTTTTTGTCTGGATATGTTAGATTTTGTTGACTGTGCATGTTTGTGGTCCTTTCTGCTATTCAAAGATCGAAGTAATGTTCCATCTATTATTGCAGAGTCTTTGTCCATTGAAATTGGTTATTGAGTTGTCCTTTTTTATTGATTATGCTCTAGGAAAACACCCTTTTTGTATGTGTTTGTATATATTTTGTTGAGTGGTCCCTTTCTTATTGATTATGTAGTAGAAAAGGTCCTTTTTTGTATGTGTTTGGTTGACAAGCATGAATACTGAACATATTCTCTCTCTCTCCTACTTTATATTAAAACATGAAAATTATGTATTTTTTCTATTGTTTGAATGTGCATTATTCCTATTGTTTATCACTTTAGCTTGACACTACCACCATATTTAATCATTAATTAATTATGTATTATTGCAGATGGATATATACCTTGACGAGCCTTTTGAAGAAACAAATGAGAACCATGTAAGTAAAGGAAAAGAGAAGGTTGTTGAGTCTACAATTGATGATGATCAGATTGATGAAACATATATGGATTTTGCTGAAGTGGAGTCCGATGATGAGTTAGATGAAACATATTTGGACTTTACTGAAGTGGAGTCTACATATGGTCCTAGTGATGAGTTGAGAAGCTTGCCTGGTTCAGATGATGATGAGAATAATAGTAATGTACTTTAACCTATCCCTGACAACCAAGAATTCCTGCCTTCAAGGGATTTGGGTATTAAACAAATTGAAATTGGCATGAGGTTTGCATCAGCTGCAGATTTTAGGCTTGCACTTAGGGATTATGTAATCAAGGAAAAGTTGGATATTAAATTAACAAGAAATGATGGTGATAGAGTGACTGCAGTGTGCAAGCAAGGTTGTGGCTGGAGAATACATGCAAGTAAACCAAGTAATGAGCAGTGTTTAAGAATCAAGACATTCACTATAGAGCATAACAATTGCTTGTGGACTCATAGTAGTAAGCAAGCCACGTCTTCTTATCTAGCAAACAAGTACTTGGAGCAAGTGAGATTAAACCCAACCATGGGCCATGTGGCACTTCAAAGTACTATTGCAGCTGAGTTAGACCTTGATGTGTCTACATACAAAGCGCGTAGGGCAAAGAAAAGGGCATTAGGCATTATTGAGGGAGATGAGGCTGAACAATATTCAAAGTTGAGGGATTACTGTGCATTGATCCAAAGCACCAATCCAGGAAGTCGTGCAACAATTGGTGTTGATCCCATGTCTTATGATAATGAAATAAAAACCTTCGAAAGGATTTTTATTTGTTATGCTACAATGAAAAAGGGATTTAAAGACGGTTGTAGGCCATTCCTCGGAGTTGATGGGTGCTTTCTAAAGGGAGCATATGGTGGTCACCTTCTGTCTGCTGTGGCATGTGATGGGAATGACCAAATGTACCCTGTTGCATTTGTTGTTGTAGAGGCTGAAACAAAAGACTCATGGGCTTGGTTCATGAGAGAGTTAATGGAGGTTGTGGGATCTCACTTTGACATCACCTTCATGTCAGATAGACAGAAAGTAAGTATCTTTATAATTTTATTTCATTTCCATTTTACACTTTACTTCAATTTCATTTCTTTTAATCAATAGTTTTATTTATCTTTACTTATCTACTTTACTAGTTCCTTTCAGTGTTTTAAATTAGTAGTTTTAATTCATTTCAGATTTACAATTTACTTAAATTTTAGATGTTTTAAGTTAGTACAAGTACCTAATTTTATTTCATTTTTGTTTTACAATTTACTTGAGTTTCAGTTCTAATCAATAGTTTTATTTATGTTTACTTTTCTAATTTACTGGTTCCTTTCAGTGTTTTAAATCATTAGTTTTAATTCATTCAGATTTGAAATTTAATTTAATTTTAGTTTTTTAAGCAGTACAAGTAAATAGTTTTATTTCATTTTCGTTTTATAATTACTTTAATTTCAGTTCTGTAAGATAGTAGTGGTAAGTATATTAAGCCTGTTTAACATACAAAGACATTGTCTGGAAACTATATTCAATACTTAATTCAGAACAAATTAGTGGGTTAGATAAAGCAATTCGGATATCAATTAAAAGAATAAGTTCCACTTTAAAAAAAAAAAAAATTTGATAAAATTTCAAGTTAAGAAGACTTCAATCATCACTAACACTTACAATTCAAACATATAGCAAAAATGTTGCAGCTTAGAGGCCTTGAAACATCAAAGAAATGAATCGTAAAGTCAAGCTAGAGTGTTTTTATGGTGATTACAAGCCTGAAACCATAGGTGCCTGACACCAGCAGTAAGCATAAAAGCAGCTCAAAATTTAGTTCTCTTTCAAGCTAATTTAAAAGCCTACACAAGCCAGACTCCAATAATTATACACCTTCAATAACGAATGGCCTCACTAGGATAATCAACCAAGCTCCGGAACATAAGACATTTTTTGTAAATAAAATAAATTTCATGAAAACTTCATTTGAACTTCCAAAATAAGATGAAACTAGAGGAATGCAGAAACATATGAGTCCATTATGCACCAATTATTAGTGCAAAAAAATTCATGACCATGAGGCCCATAACAACTATATACATTACTTTTCAAGGCCACTACAGCCAAATATTTTTAAACATAAGGACTCACATTATTTTCCAGCATTTTACTTCATATTTTACTCTCTTATAAAGCTTTCAACTCGGATTGGAGGTAAGATACACCAATATGGACGCCATAGCAACAAGACATTGTTGATATTTTCATATCTGGCTATTAGGTGGAACTTCGGATTCTACAGAGCTTCAGCTGCTAGCTAGTATAGAATGAATATTTTAAGACTTTCAAATTATTAATATGTTTCAGTTCTAATCAATAGTTTTATTTATGTTTACTTTTCTAATTTGCTGGTTCTTTTCAGTGTTTTAAATCAGTAGTTTTAATTCATTTAGATTTGAAATTTAATTTAATTTTAGTTTTTTAAGCAGTACAAGTAAATAGTTTTATTTCATTTTAATTTTATTATTACTTTAATTTCAGTTCTGTAAGATAGTAGTTGTATTTATGTTCGATTTTGCACTTTACCGGTCCATTCCTTAGTATTGATTTGTAGTTACATTTAATTTGTAATTTGCATTTTATTTTAGGGATTAGTTGATAGTTTTGACACCATTCTGTATGGGGCTGAACATAGATTTTGTGTCAGACACCTCTATGAAAATTTCAAACTAAAATATAGGGGACAAAATCTAAAAAATGAGGTTTGGGAAGCAGCTCAATCCTACACAGAAGCTGATTTTCAATTGCATATGAACAATATCAAACAGATGGATCCTAAAGCTTATGAGTGGCTGAGAAAAGTGCCACCAAGGGTATGGACAAGGTCCAGTTTTGGTTGTCAGTCAAAAACTGCCTTAGTGATAAACAACATGTGTGAATCCTGGAATGCAGTCATTCTTCCGGCAAGAGACAAGCCTATTTTGTACATGTTGGAATGGATTAGAAAACATCTCATGTTGAGGTTTCAAAGTAAGAGGGAGTTCATGAATTCAAAGAGTGGGTTGTTGTGTCCAAACATTCAGAAGGAGATGACCAAGAGGAAAAATAATGCAAGATTTTGCAAAGTTCATTATGCCGGTGAGGACAAATATGAAGTGGAATACAGAGGAATTAGTGAGGCAGTGGACATTTCGCAGAACACATGCACTTGTAGGATATGGGAAGTTAGTGGTATCCCTTGCAATCATGCTATAGCATGCATATTCGCAAGGAGGGAACTGCCAGAGATATATGTTGATCCATATTATCACAGAGACACTTATTTGAAGGCCTATGCAAACTTGATTTATCCCGTTCCTATGAGCAGGCTATTAAATTCAGAACCTATAGACCCATTGCAGCCTCCAACCTATAGGAAACCAACTGGTAGACCAAAGAAGGCAAGGAACAAAAAAAATGATAAGGCAAGTAGTTCAACAACATTAAGCAAGTCAAGAACAGCTTTGCAATGTTCAAGATGCAATAGTTATGGGCACAACACAAGAACATGCACAGCCTTGGAACCAATAGTGGTTGAGAAACTTCCACTAAAAAGGGGAGGAAGACCACCATTAACTAATAGAGGAGGGGCTGGAAAGGCATATGGCAGGAGTAAAAGGTGTGCAAGGTGTGGAAAGGGTGCTAGGGGTGGTTCAGATGCACATTGGGTGCATCAAAGTCAATCTCAAGAGGTAAATATCTTGCTTAATGTAAACCTATAATTAACTATTTTCCTTTTTCTAGTTGAATTAACTATTCTTTAGTGCTAACAATATATAACAATCTGTTTTAGTAAGTTATAAACATTTGTTTTTCTTAATATGGTGATTCACAGGCATCAATGTAGTCTAGAGGTGGTGTTTCAGTACATAGAAGGGGTGGTGTTTCAGTGTATATAAGAGGTGTTGGTTCAGCAGTGCAGGAAAGATGTACTAGTTCAGCAGTTCAGGGAAGAGGTAGTGGTTCAGCAGTGCAGGGAAAAGGTATTGGTTCAGCAGTTCAGCAAATAGGTGGTGGTTCAATGCAGTCAAGGGCTGGTGGTTTAGTTGTGCAGGGAAGGGGTTGTAATGTAATATGGCCAAGGGGTGGTGATGGTGGGCATACAGTGCAGCTATGGGGTGGGAATTCAATGCAGGCAAGGCAGTCTCAAGAGGTAAATAATGTAAATGATGATTTTTTTCTCTAATTGTGTATTTGATGGTTTATTAGCCTGATATAGCTTTGTACTATTAAATGGTACCTATTTATTTAGGGGGTATGCCATCTGTTTGCTCTATAATATTTTAAAAAATTTATAAAAATAACACAATTAAGGAGGGTAGTTAAAAGAAATAGAATTTCAACTTAGACTTTTATTTGTCTTTGCAGGTTCATAACATTCCATTATCTCAGTTGCTTAACACACAGGCATCATCATCAAAGTATAGCAACTATCTCAGTTTCCATTTCCTTTTTAAACATGCATTGACAATATGAGAAAAATAATATTATTTATATCTTTGCAGGTCATTGATGAATGATGATGCAAGTGCTTATGCTGCTTGGTGATAATGGGAGTTGTTGGTTGGTAGTCACATTTTTTGGTTACTCTGATGCAATATTTAGGTTGTTGTGGGTTGCTGTGATGCAATGTTTTTGTTGCCATGATCTTTTGTTCTGAAAAACTTGCTCCGGTGCAGCCTTCTGGCATTTTATTTGTAGTAACTATGAAGTAATTTGGTACTGTAATGTATTTGTATTAAACCTTATATGCAACCTTCCTTTAGAATGTTAATATGGCCAATATGTTTTGGTGGTCAGTTTTATGCAGTCTATTATGATGGAATATGTGTAAGTTTGCAATGTGAGTGACATTGTTCTTTGGTGCAACCAACAAATACAGTCTTTGGCGTATTAAGCAACAAAAGCAATCATACAAGTTATGTAACAACTTAATAGAATTGCAGGAAAATTTGCACTGATTGACAACAAAAAAATGAATCTTATTTTTCCATTATATGGTCATTACAACATTAATTCTACTAAAACAAAATCAAAAACCCCCCATACATAAGCAAGCCCAATACACTGCTTCATATACACACTGCATTATTCACCCAAACTCCCCCCATACATTAACGAAAAAAAAAAAAAAAAAAAAACCAAATCAGGGAACCCACTTAACATCAATTCAAAAAACAATAATTTGGGGGTTTTTTGTATAGATTTCTCTTTAATGGTAACAAGGGGTAAAATTGCTATTTTGATTTTACAGTAGAGCTCGCGTGCCTCTGTAAACCCACCTCCATTCAGCCACTTCCTTTTTTTTTTTTCCCAATCGTCAATGGTAGCTTGAGCCACCACCTATATCCTCGATGAAAATTCATGGCAATGGCGAGGATTCGAACTAGAAAAACGAAGATGGCAGAGCAAATTAACCCACCTTTTTTTTTTTTGCAGAGTTAAGATAGAAATCAAAGATCCCATCCTCTACGATGCACGTGACCGACTCTCCAATGTCAGAACTGATACAATCAACCTCAGAGACGTGTCTTGGTGACGGCTTCCAAAGGATCAAAGTATGAATCGATCGCCGGAGGGTCTTTCAGGAGTCTATTAGAAACGGTTTGGAAATGGGAGTGAACGTGTGGGTGTGGCAGAGCGGTGGGCTTGGTCGCTGTTGAAGAAGGCGACATTGATGCCGGCGAGCTTGAGCTTGATCGTTTTGTGTGTTGCTCGAGTTCTTCTCAATTTTGAATGGGTTGCAGAGAATCAGTGGATTGCGATTGTTATTTGCGAACAAAAATTAGGGTTAGAGCTTTTATTAATTTATTTTCTAACAATAAGGGCAACTCTGTCATATTGGAATTTTTTTTTACGTCATGTGATAATCACAGGCTGGAATAGTGTTGCCTGGCTTGTTTTTTTGCAAAAAAAAAAAATTCAGGGGGTTTACTTTAAAAACAAAAGTTCAGGGGGGTTTTTAAGGAAAGAGAGTAGAGTTCAGGGGGGTTATTTGCACTTTACCCTATTATGTATCAACACAATGTAAACACATTAAGTCATACAAACAATAGCCCTTAATTGGAGATTGACGTATGGAGAAAAAAAGGCAGATAATAAAAGGCTAATTAAAGATGAACGAATGAAGGGGAATGAATCCGCAAGCAATGAGAAAAAGTCTTTCTTGGGGTGGGTTGATGGTTTGATTATTTTATTATTATTATTATTATTATTATTATTTAACTACAAAAAACAGATATTTTGATTTGTGAGGTGGAATTTGTACAATGCAATAAAATTTGAAAAAAAATTATAAAATAATAAGGATCCGATATTAAGTTGACTAGCTCAACTTCAAATGGTTATTTTTTTAATTCACTTTCTCTGTCATCAACTCATAAAGGAAGAGTCTCATAACTTACCGAAATGTCATCAATAAAAAATAGTACAATTCGGTGACCTTCAAAAGGTTTACATGATTGTGAAGGTTTATAATCCGTTGTTACACTTTTTAAAGGATTTTTGGTACGCGTTTTATTTTTTATATTTTGTTTTAATTTGAAACAAAATAAATATTTTGTTATAAAGTGTTTTGAATAGTAATTCAAAACATATTTGGTAAAAATGAAAAACATGTTTTTTGAAAAATATAATGGTTAGTTTAAAAATATAATTTAAAAGTTTTTTCTTAAAAAAAATGAAAAACAAAATATGTAAAAACACAAAATTAGTGTTTCAATTTTTGACCACTATTTACAAAACGTTAGCAAGGTGCAAAACAAAATAATTTTTATCAAATGAATTTTTCCTGCTACAGTTGCTGACAAAAATAGAAATACCAACAATAATACCCTTACCAAACATACATTGTAATGGCCTAGTCATTTTCTTTCCTTTCATTTTTCTCATATTTTACGAATAAATTTTTTCCGTTTAATTTTATTTTTCAAGCTCTGTTTCTCGTCACTTGGTGTCGTCTCAAGTGTTTGGAAATGGTTTCCAAGACTCTTTTGTTTGGATTGACAACTTCCTTTAAGGATCGAGTCATTTTCGCATTTTCACTTTTTGGAAACTATTCACTTTTCATACTTTTCCCTATTTTGTCTTTTCTCCGTTTGTCACTTTTTGGCACAACCTCACTTTTCGTGCTCAGAGTTGGTTTTTGACTTCTCGTACTTTCATTTTGAGTGATCTCCATGAAATACGTATCCTTACTTTTGTAGAAAAGTACTCTGGTTACTCCTAGTATCCATAAGGGCATGAATGCATAGTTCTTCAGAAACTTTTTCTTTTTCTTGGGGGTTTTTCATAAATATCTTTTGAAGATATTTTATTTCAGAGGTTTTTTAAAAAATATCTTTTGGAAGATATTTTCATTCTGAGCCAGTTTTGTAGTTAATCCTTTTTGTAGGGGCCATTGCGCAATTAACGAAAGTTATTGCAAAATACCTTGTTTTGAGCCTGGATCATCGTACGGGATTCATTTTCACTAATAGTTGAGTCATATACTCTTAGAATTTCCTCCCGGTCGTTTTCCTCAATTTTAGGGATTTCTAAACCCAGTTGCCACCAAATTTGTTTGGGGCATATCTCTCTGCTCGGGACTCAGTTTTCAACGCTATTTCTTTCGTTGTTCATGTTTTCTCATTTAAGTTCTTTTTCGTTAATGAAGTTTCACCGTTTGAGCGCGTTTGCTCAAATTTCACTTTTTCGGACCCAGCGGGGCCCTTTCGGGGCACTTTTAGGGTTTTTCTATAAATAGGGGTCTTAAGAGAAAAAGTCAAATTTTTCTTTCTCTCTCCTCTATCTTGGCCGGAATCCATGGCAGCCATGGCTTCCACCTTCTCTCTCCTCTTTTGAAGCTCTTCCCTCGTGTAAAATGTCGTAGTGCCTTAGTGTTTTATGCTCGCCTTGACAACGCACATCTTTCCCCCTTATTAGAACCCATTTTCGACTATTTTTCGAGTTCGGGTTTGAAGCCAAGTTTGAATTTTCATGGTACCTCCTTGGTGTTTAATGTTCCTCTCGTTGTCCCCGACATAACCTGGGAGTATTGTCGGATTCAGAGCATTTTTCTTTCGGTGGGGATTTGAGATCTCAAATGGAGGTAGGGGGTGTTATAGTTTATATTATTGATGTATTGCATGTTATTTATGCTTAGACAGCTCATTTACATGTCCTTGTATAAAATCTAAAGATTTTATTATTTATTTTTCTTGTATGAGATTTGATTTTTCCGGTTGGTTATAACTTGGTTTAAACTTGTGACATGATATTATATTATCCTTTGATATGTTCATTGACATATATTAAATTGAGAGCATATAGACAAGTATTGAAGCTTTTATTTAATATTTTTCTTGAATGCAAGTTTAATTCATGCGGCCTTATCTAGCTTGAAATCAATGTGTGATGTCATATTATATTAGGCCCTAGCATGCTCTTCAACATAGGTAAATTTGAGATAAATCAGAGATGTTTTAAAATCTAGAGATAATTAATTAATTTGATTAATAAATTTATTCCAAGTGTACTATTCACTTCATTGGATTTCCGACTTGATATTATTGATGTGCATGCCATACATTTTCTCATATATTAAATCGAAAATATTTGATTAGGTTTTGAAATATTTCATTTATTATTTTTCTTATATGAAGGTTTAATTATCATGGTTGTATCTTGCATGAAAAATTCTTGTAGTATGCTATTAAATCAAGTCTTAACATGTTTAATGACATACTTTAATTTGAGAGCATTTGGATGAGTTTCAAAATCTAGGGATTTTAATTAAAGGAATTAATTAAAATCCATTCAATGGTTTTATGCACTTGATTAAGTTTATAACTTGGTATTCATGATTTCCTTGACAAGTTCATTCACTTATATCAAATTGAGAATAATCGAATGAGTTTGAGACTTACATTTATTTATTTCCTTAGTATGGAGTCTAATTCACATGGTTGTATCTTCTTTGGAATAAACTTGTAATTTGACATTGAACTTATCTTTGACATGATTCTTGACATATCTTGTTCGTAGAATATTTGGACTTGCCTTGTAATCTTGATAGTTTAATCCCTTAAGTAGATTAAATTTCCTTTTATGCTTCCATCGAGTTAATCATGCATTGATGTTGAACTCTTATCAAACTTATGAATCGGACTTGTATTTCATGGATTTCTATCTTTTTATCAAGCATCGTGACCCCTTGTATCTTGGTTTCATTAATGTACTTAATGAACTTGTATAATTACCTTGGAATGGTTTAATTACTCATGTGTTGTTTAGTAAATAATTAAATCATTAATCTTATACTTGTGGTATATTTACATCAATGGATTTCATATGATATATATCTTGGTTGTAGTTTATATAGATGCACACTATGATTTCTTGACATTTCACATGCCATTATAGTTGAGAACTTAGGGCATGACTTGTGTGTTCTGAAATCTTGGTTGTGTATAGAATGTGGTTTAATGCATTACTTGTATCTTGATATACTCTTGACTTGCACAACTTGTTGATTTTGGGACTTGGGATATCAATCAAGAATTGGCATGAATAGGACTTGGTTTTAGCACGGGAGATAAAGAGCTCCCTACACTATAATGCGCACTAGGGGAAGGTACCCATGGGTTAGTAGCCCTAAAGTGATCCCAAGAGTACGGTTTTAATCCGAGCGATATCCAAGTATCCACATTGGTTGATTTCACTCTTTAAATTTCAAGTTGCTATTACTTGAAGATTTAAAACTTGTCGTGTTAATTGGAATGTTCCAATCATGTTAATTACATTGATAAT